AAGACTGGCCCTGAGCTAACATCCATGCCCATCTTCCTCTACTTTATATGTGGGACGGCTACCACAGCATGGCTTGCCAAGCGGTGCCATGTCCGCACCCGGGATCCGAACCGACGAACTCCCGGAAGCTGAAGTGGAACGTGCGCACTCAACTGCTGTGCCACGAGGCTGGCCTGAAGACTTACATTTCTAAGGCCTGCTTCTGTATGTATATTATACCATTAAAAGTTTACTTAAAAACTATACAACATTAAAGGTATTTTGTCCGTTGACAACAAATACAGGTCTCTAAATGCAGCCTCCCTCCACCACTCCACGGAGGGCCACACTTTCCCATAAGCCAGAAGAAACCCCCAGCATCACATGGACGACTTCCTCTGGGTGCCATATATACTGCTGTGCTTTGTGAAAATTCATCTTGCTGTACACTTGGGAAGTAGGTACTTTTCTGTATGTATGTTATACTTTTAAGAGTTTACTTAAAAAACTAAGGCCTGCTTCTGGAATTTCGTTAGTGCTAAAAGCAAAATGCAAGCCTTTAGACTTAATTTTACTGGCAGAAATGGAGAAAGAGATGACTAGGGCTGCAGTTAACAGTGAAACAGGGTGCATAAGGAATTAATCTTCCACGGTACTCCTTTTTTGTTTTTAGCAATACTTTGCTTTAGATTCTAATTTACATTCAATTCCTTATTTTCCAATTTTCAGATTTCCTTTCTCAGTCTGTACCTAAATACACAATGTACAATACTTTAGTATTGTGATTTTTAAAAAGCTTATAAGCTATTCTCTTAAGACCACATTTATACAACATTTTATCAGTATTGCCACAATACATAGGTAATCATTTTCCCCAGCAAGCCCACTCTAACATTGTGGGGGCCCAGGGCAGGATGCCAAAATCCAAATGTCTAGATATTTAAAGGTTATAAAACAAGGTTACCAACCATCACATAAAATGTTATATCTACCTACCTTGACAAATACACCTTGATAAGGACAACATAAAAAATTATATGTAAAGCTGTGGCTTTCATATGGCTGAAAATTGGCAAAATATCAAAGATAACTGAACTATTATTGTGCACTTCTGGAGGTTCTGTCCATGGGCCACTGATGCTTGAATAAGTAAGAAGACATACATAATCCATAATTTATTATGTATGTATGTATACCACAAAATTTATTTTTCTTGCCTTTGTTTCAGAAAAAAAATCATTGTGTTGATAATAATAAAATTTTCATATAATTGTGTTATATTGACAATTGTGCCAAGTTAGATAAACTTTCCTGAGTCATTATAGTTTGTAGACAGTTTTCAATTATTTCAGTTGGGAGAAACTTCACTCTGCTGAGGGAGCAGCAGCTGGAATTGTCAATAAAATTCTTAAAGCTTTAGATTTAGAATTGATCCATGAATAGTGACATCAGGTTTAAACACGGTAAGGAGGGTGAATCTGAAAAATTAGCACCATTGCAGAAAATATTACAAAATATTTCCATTTCATTATATAAATGAAATAATTAGTTCACTATTCTCACCATATCTTAATATCTTACAACATATCTAGATCCATACAGTAGTTCTTAAGTTTTTCTCCTTTCACATTTTTCAGTACTAAGATATAATAAAGAAAACTGAAAACTACAGTAGGCTGCCCACTTGGTTCAACTCTCTCTTCAGTAGCGACTATACCTTGACCCACAGTGGCCAGAAAATAGTCTCCAGAGACATTATTTTCAGGATTATTTGTACATGAATCTTCTCCTTCAGAGTCCAGCAAATGTTTCTGTTTCCTAGTTCTAATTTCCCTACATTGTATTTGAATGCCACCTTAGTGTTTTCTAAAAAGTACTTTATTTTTTAGAACAGTTTCAGGTTCACAGCAAAATTGAGGGGACGATTCAGAGATTTCTCCTATACCCTCTGCCCCAACACATGCATACCCTTCCCCATTATCAACATCCTCACCAGGATGGGACATTTGTTACACTTGATGAACCTATGTTGACACATCATTATCACCCAGAGTCCATAGTTACATTAGTGTTCACTCTGGGCGTTGTACATACTATGAGTTTAGATAAACGTATTATGACACGTATTTACCACTATAGTGTCACACAGAATATTTTCACTGCCCTAAAAATCCTCTGTGCTCTGCCTATTCATCCCCCACCCCAACCACTGGCAACAACTGACCTTTTTAGTGTCTCCATTGTTCTGCCTTTTCCAGAATGTTCTATAGTTGGCATCATACAATATGTAGCATATTCAGATTGTCTTCTTTCACTTGTTAATATACATGTAAATTTCTTCCATGTCTTTTCATGGCTTGATAGCTCCTTTCTTTTTAGTGCTGAGTAAAATTCCATTGTCTGTATGGACCACAGTTTATTTATCCATTCGCCTACTGAAGGACATCTTGGTTGCTTCCAAGTTTTGGCAAATATGAATAAAGCCGCTATAAATATCTGCGTATAGGTTTTTGTATGGACAGAAGTTTTCAACATCTTTAGGTGAATACTCAGGAGCATGATTGCTGGATCATATGATAAGAGTATGTTTAGTTTTGTAAGAAACTGCCAAACTGTCTTCTAAAGTGGCTGCACCATTTTACGTTCTTACCAATAATGACTGAGAGTTCCTATTGTTCCACATGCTCACCAGCATTTGGTGTCATCAGTATTCGGATTCTGGCCATTCAAATAGGTATGTCATGATATCTCACTTCACTTTGCATTTCCCTGATGACATAGAATGTGGAACATCTTTTCATATGCTTATTTGCCATCTGTATATCTTCTTCAGTGAGGTCTCTGTTCAGGTCCTCGGCCCATTTTTTAATCAGCTCTTATTGTTGAGTTTTAAGAGAGTTCTTTGTATTGTATATTTTGGACAACAGTCCTTTATCATATATGTCTTTTGGCTAATATCTTCTCCCATCCTGTAGCTTGTCTTTTCATTCTCTTGATTTGTGCTTATTTCACATGCGGTTTCTTTTGGGAACCACTTTTTTCCCTAAAACATTGAGATATTTTTAATCCTTTTGGATTTTTTGGTAAGCTTTTTCTTACAGTAACAACTGTAGACAGCTCAAACTCAAAATTAACTTTATTTTCTGCCAAAGACCATTATTTTCTCTTTGGATATGATTTCACTTAACTCTTCGAGTGCATCTCCTAACTTGTCTAAACTGTCTAATGGCTTTCACAGCATTCATGGGATTACCGTCATGTATTGAGAGTGGTTATAAATTAGATTTGAAATGCTTCGTCAAGATGGTCCATCTTTGGGCAGATCTAGAAAAAAACCCAACAGTGTATCATCTTTGAACTGATCCAAAGAATGTCACTGCTGTAAGCACAGTTTGTCATGTTTTCTAGTAACGAAATCAAACTGCTTGCTAATTCCTGGTGCCCAGGGCAGGGGCCCCTCTTGCCTAGGTCCAAGAATTTTGTTCCCAGCGTTACTAAATAGTTTGTATAATCCTTAGTTCTTAATTCCCCGTGGGAAAAAGTCCCAGATCTCAGGCCTGCTGGCTTCAGAATCCTGCCCCTAACTCCACAGAATGATGCCTCGCGTACACAGGCACAGAGGGGTCAGGAGTGGGGCTGGGGTAAGGTAGGACAGTCACTGCAGATTTAGGGGCTGAGGGCAGGGGAGCTTGGGGGCCAGGGGGACCTTTGAAAGTGTGGTTGGTGCCCCGGAGCGAGGCTCAGAAGGTTGAAGGATGGTGGGGCCCAGATCACGACGGGCGTCGCAGGCCACTTTAGGGCTTTCAAAGAGCACACGGACATGTCCCGAGCGCACAGGTTTACAACGGTCACAGGAAACGACGGGGCTCGTTTTGAACTCATCTCGACTGTTGCCTTAGCTGACACAGTCACCCCCGCCTGCGGCCTAGGCCCGGGGGGCTCCCGTCCGATGGGGGGACAGGGAGCTGGCGAGATCACACCACGGCATCTCAGCCGAGGCGCGAGGTGAGCAGACCATGCCGGGGCGCCGCCGGGTTATCTGCGGGCCACGCGCCCGGGCGCTTCCACTCTGCGGATCCCGGTGGAAAATCCAGGAAGAAGCGGAGCGCCTCGGGGCGGCGAACACCGCGCAGAGCAGGCCCAACTCTTCCCCGTCCTGCTGCCACCCCCATAGCTCACTGGCCCGGCGCACGAGACGGGGTCGAAAGTCAGCCACGAAGCCCCGCCCTATCCCGCGCATGCGCCCTCAGTTGGGCGCCTTCGGGGCGGGCCCGCGCATGCGCCGTGGCGGGGGCCGCGCGGGGCGGCGGAGGCGGCGGAGGTGAGTGTGCGGCCTGGTGTCCAAGCGGCGCGTGCGCGGTGATGCCCGCCCTGGTCTCCACATGCCTCCTGCTCGAGCGGCCGCGGTCGGCGCCTCAGTGGAGGGCTGCGGGGGCCTGCGGCTTTGGGACGGGACGGAGGACGCGGGAAAAGCCACCATGGTGGATGGCGGCGCTGGGGACACTGGGGGCTGGGGAGCTCCGGGGTGGTTCCTACGTGCGGGGCGGCCCCGGAAACCTTGGGAAGAATCGGGGGGCGGGGGCTAGGGATAAGGAGGAATGCCTCCCGGGCCCGTCAGTCATGTGACGCGGCCGAGGAGGAAAGTCAGTGCACTAGTTAGGTTACTAGGAATGCCCCCCGTGAGACACGAAGAGAGGAAGGGACAGACGCAACCCGCAGCCAAGCGTCCGAGAACCGTGGGACGGTGTCGCACGGCCTCCTGCTCTTGCAGTTGCAGTCTCAGGAGACAGAGAATAAGGCAGCAGAAATATTTGACGTGATAATGCTGCGGGCTCAGCGAGGCAAAGAGTCAAAAGAAAGATTTCTTTGGACTCTCGAGGTCTGGTTGTAGTGCTCCTTTATTCAGAGACTAGCGTGGGGACGGGACCCACGGGCAGTGAAGGGCTGCAAAGTGTTGAGGGTTAGGGCTCAATTTATAAGGCATGGGTACGTCACTTACTTCTACCAGACAAAGGAAAGATGATGTAAAAAATCATTAAATCATGTCAGTGCAGGTGGGGTCTGGTTATTATGTGGTCATATAACTTTAGATATGAATCAGGTCATGATCGGCATATAGGCCAGGACGCCTTAGGCTTCTCTCCCCGGGGCAGCCTTGATCCACGTCAATAATGCTCAAGAATTTTCCAAAAATGACGAAAGATATGAAACCACAGATCAAAGGCTGCTTAAAGAAGCACAAGCAGGATAAATAAGTTTAAAAGAAAGAAAGAGTAAATATATATTCAAAGCATTGAAAGCCAAAGATAAAGAGAAAATCTGCAAGGCAGCCGGAGGGCAATTCCTTGGGTAGAGATGTGGGGAAAAGCCCTCCAGGTGGAAGGAACAGCAGAAGCAAAGGCAAGGAGGTGGAGAAGTATAGGGGCTCTCTGAAGGACAGCACGTGAGGAGGGGTGAGTAATTGGACAAGATGATACCCAAGTTAAAGAGACCTCAACTGCCAAGGAAGGGAGTTTATTCTGTAGTCAGTTGGGGAGCCCCGTAGGGTTGAAGCACCACCCGGAACCTTGAATTTTGTAAAATTCTGTTGAATTTTATCATACTTTTTAATGCATCTATTGGAATGATCCTATGGTTTTCTTCCTTTATTCTGTTACTATTGTGTTCTGTTACTATTGTGTGAATTGTGTTCATTGGTTTTTGAACGGTAAACCAACCTTGCATTCCTGGAGTGAATCCACTCAGTCATGAGGTGTTAGGTTTCTTACATATTATTGAATTCAGTTTGCTAATATTTTGCTAAAGATTTTTGTATCTATTTCATGAAGGATATTGTATTGATCTATAGTTTTCCTGTAACAGCTTTGTCTGGTTAATAGTATCAGGGTAATCCTGTTAGTTTTGGTGTCCATGTGATCCTGGTGTCATAAAATCACTGGGGAAGTCTTCCTTCCTCTCTATCCTGAAACAGTTTCTATCGGTTGGTATTACATCTTCCTTAAATGCTTGACAATTTGCTGGTTAAGTCATCTAGGCATGAAATTTTTTTGGTGTTGTTTTATTTCATTTTTTGGAAAATTTTAAATTATGAATTCAATTTTCTTAGTAGATACAGGGCTATTCAGGCTTTCTATTTCTTTCTGAGTTACTTTTGATAATTGGCATTTTTAAAAGAAATCTGTCCATTTCACCTAAACTTCTAATTTCTTTGATAAAAAGTTCACATATTCCTTTATGACCCTTTTAATGTCTGTAGTCTTAGTGACGTCCCCTCTTTCATTCCTGATTGTGGTAATTTGTATCTTCTTCCCATTTTTCTTTATCAGTCTAGTGGAGGTTATCAACTTTATTGAAGTCTTGAAATAACCACCTTTGGTTTTATTGATTTTTTTTCCTATTGTTTGTCCATTTTCTATTCCTTTGATTTCTGTTCTTTATTATTTTATTCTTTCTATTTATGTTGGGTTTAATTTGCTTTTTTCTAGCTTCTTAAGGTAGAAACCTAGATGATTGTTTTAAACCTTCTTTTCCAGTTTAAACATTTAAAGCAGTGAATTTCCCTTTAACCACTGCTTAAGCCTCATTCTACATACTTTGATATATTGTGTTTTGGTTTTCATTTAGTTCAAAATATTTTCTAATTTCCCTCGTGATTTCTTCTTTAAACTATGGCTTATTTGGAAGTATACCATTTAATTTCCAAATGTTTTGAGATTTTTTGTTACTGATTTTAATGATCTTGGGGTTGCGGAACGTACTCTATGACTTTAGTCTTTTAAAGTTTGAGGCCCATTTTATAGCCCAGCATCATAGCCTTTCTTGGTGAATATCTCATGTGCACTTGAAAATAATGTGTGACCTTGAGCGCTTACTCTGAACTCGTACTTACTCTGAACTCACGGTTCCCTGTCTGTAAGGGACGCCCTGTGTCTTGTGAGTAAGCAGCATGCAGCAGGACGCTTTGCGATGTGTCGTTCTTGGTTCTGAAGGTGCTGTGCCCTGTCTCTTGATCTTGCAGATGGCGTGTGAGACAGAGTGCCGTCCCTTGGGTGTGTTTACGTGCCAGCTCTGTGCCTTGACAGCTCCATACAGCTATGTGGGGCAGAAGCCCCCTGACACCCAGTCTGTCGTGTGAGTACCAGTGTCCTAGTGGCCCCAGGAAGCCCTACTCGGAGCTGGTTGGCCTGAGTCTGACACATGGCTGGGTGTTGTGCTCTAGGCCCACCCCTCTAGGCTCTGGCTGCTTCACATGTGACCTGAGGAGGCACAGGACAGGCTTGAGGGCCAGCCAGCTCTTCCAGAACCCCTAAGCCCCTTCCTTCTGCTCAGCTCAGAGTTCAACACCCGCTCCAGCTGTGGGGTAGAAGCCCCATGGCTCCAGCTGAAACAGCTCAGCAGCTGGGAATGAAAGGCGCCCTGGCGGCCTTATGTGGGCCTGAGTCTGGTTGCCATTCCTGCTGGTTCCTGTGGAGACAACATTCTTAGCCGGAAGCCCACCTGCCTTGAGGCCCTTGCACTGGTGGGAGTGAGTCCTGAGGACCAGCTTCCTAGGAATCTGCCCAGGGAAGGCCTAGAGTAGAGCCAGTGGGTCCCAGAGCTTGATTCTTGACCTTCAACCTGCCCTTTGTCAAATGCACCATTGAGGGAAGTTGACCAGTACATTACTCATGTGGGACAAGTGGCGGGGACAAGGCTTCTTTCTTCTGTCTGGGGTTCTTCTGCTGACTGGGAACCAGGGATGTCATCATGGAACCCTCCTTTCTGGTCTCCTTTCTGATGCGTGACGTGGGGCCAGACCATACACAGGGTGTAAGGCGCCCTAGTGCTCCCTGTGCAGAAGCACTTGAGAGTGGGCGTCACTGTTCCTTGGCGTGAGCGGAGGGCTTGGAGGGCTGGGGGGGACCTCGTGACCCTGCCCGCACTCTGGTTAGTCAGGTTGGGGTCTGGGGGCTCGCTGGCAGCAGCCCTTCTTCCAGCTGAAGAGGAGCGGGTCTCTCCACCACAGCTGGTACAGAGCCCAGAGCAGGTCCAGCTTCACTTCCAGCCTGGCGCCCCACTGCTTGCCTTTCTGTTACTACTGGGTGGCACAGGGGGACCAGCCCCTCCCTCCATGAGCCTGCAGTGTGCAGGCCCTGGGGAGGTCCATGCTGCTGCCCAGCTTCTGTGAGCAGAGGTTCAGGCTGTTCCGACCGCTGGCATCACTTACTGTCCTACAGCCTCCTGGAGGAGAGCTATGTCATGAAGGACCCCTTCACCTCGGACAAAGACAGATTCCTGATCCTCGGCTCGAAATGCAGTTTATGCAGCAGGCTGGTGTGTGTGGGCCCGGTAGGTAAGCCGCGTGTGGCTGGGGCTGCCTTCCGTCCCTCCCTGAGGCTGGGACCCCACACGTGTGATCGTGGGAGAGGTGACGCGTGAGCCTTTCCCAAGGACTGTGTGAGTGTCAGTCTTTCCTGGTGACCCTAGGAGCCTTCACAGTCCCTAGGTTGGAGGGCCGGTGGGGTAGTTCTTAGAGGCCAGCTGGCCCACCTCATAATGGATGGATCCTGCAGCCCACAGAGGGGGAGGGGACAGGTAGAGGGGTGAGCTGGGGTCAGGTAGGGGGTCTCAGCGGGGGTTGAGGAAGAGAAATTGATTCTTGGAGGTTCGGCCCCACCCCCAGGGACCCCTAATAGTTCTTCCTCCTCCCCCCAACTCTGCAGGGGGCCGTCATGCTCCTCGCCTCCAGGGGATAGCGACCTTCCTTTTAAGTGTTCTGGGGGCACTTTCCAGAGGTAGGAGCCCACTTTCTTGAGCACTTGTGGTGTGCCAGGCCCTCTGCTTGTGACTTGTCTTACCTGTGAGGCTTCCTGCAATCCTGCCCCAAAGGTGGTTGGGCAAAGCAGGTTATTACCCCGTCCTATAGGCGAGGAGACTGAGGGTCCGAGAGCCCGAGTGGGCCTGCTTCACCGAGATTGCTGAGCCTCCTGTTTGAGAGCCCGAGGACGGATGGAGGTGTAGCTGGGGAGTGTGGCCCCTGTAGCCTGAGTGATCCCACAGTCTGAGGTCCCCACGCATTCCGCCGGGGGCAAAGTGCGAGCAAAGGAGCCATGTCACAGACCCCACTGACACAGCCTCCATCCCTCAAAGGTCAGGGGAGGAAGCCTCAGCTCAGGCAGAGCCGGGAGGGAGGACACACACGGCACCTTGGGGTGTTTGAGGAGATGGGGCAGCTGACGATCCTGAGGCTCTGGCCGGAGAGGAGCAGCTGGGAAGCTGAGACTGAAGAGGGGGGTGGGGCCGGGTGGGAGGAGCCTCAAGTGCACCCCCCTGGGAATTTGGGCTACACGTGGTCAGCAGAGGGGAGGGTGCCCAGGGTGCTCTCAGAAATCCCCAGCCTTCTTTGAATATGTGGTAGGTTGTTAGGGAGTGACTCCTCGTGGGAACAGACCTCTTCTGAGAACTGTAGGAAGGGCGGCCTTGTCTTAGTTGAGGCACATGCTAAGGTGCAGGAACAGAGAGACTCCCTAAGTGGCTTCATCGAGACAAATAGGATTCACTTAGTTTTCTTCTGTGTAAGAGTCCAGAGCAGGGAGTGCTGGCTAGAAGGGCACGGCTGCCACCCTCAACTCAGCATCTGCTGGGGCCACTGCGGCTGTTGCAGCTCCCACCGTCATATCTACATCTCCACTGCTGGGAAGGGACAGGGAGCACACACCCATTCCTTCGAAGGGCATGACTTGGTGGTGGCCCACAGCTGCCAATGACAGCCACCGACCAGACTTAGCCACGTGGCTACACCCAGTTGCAGAGCAGCTGGGATGGTAGTATATGGGCCGGGCCCCGTGCGGGATGAAAATCGGGAGTTTGGTGTTAGAGGATGGAGGCAGGGGGAGAGTGGACACATTGGGACCGTTCTGGCCTTCCACCCAGAGAAGCCACTCGACCATGGCCTTTTTGATCTGTAGGGCTGGACCTCTTACACCCTGCTGCTCCGAGCATCAGTGGTCACCAAGCCCCTGTCCCACTGCTGTGACAGCCCTAGGGAGGGATCTGGGATTTCTGACCATGTAGCTGTGGCTTGTGCCACAGCTTCTCATGGTTTCTCTTCAGCCTGCAGTGGAGCAGGGCAGTCCTGGAGTCTTTCTGTCCTGTCCCGCTTTCCCACCCTGGTTAACCCAGGCCTGCATCCCTCTCTCCTGGATGCCTTTGCCATTCTCACTGGAGGATTCCCACATGCTGAAAACCCTCCGACACCCGCTGCCTGCAGGGTCTCACCCTGGCTCTTTTGCCCCTCCTCTCCGGCAGTCCTCCATCATTTCTTTCTCTCTTAGGCAAAGATCACACTCCTCGAGGTGGCTGGCCAGGCCCCAGGGCCCTGCTCTCCCTCCTGCTGTTCTGGCTCTGGCCACACCGTCCCCGTCTCCTCTTAGCTGTCTGTGTATCCTGGGGGCCCTGCTCAGCGCCTCCATCCAGCATGCGGTGAAGGGCTGGCCTCCGGGAGAAGCTGCACCAGGCTCCCCGTGGTACTCAGCCCCCTTCCTTCCCCTCTTCTTTCAGGAATGCAGTTTATTCTATTCCAAGAGATTTTGCCTCCCCTGTGTCCAGGAGAACATTGATGCTTTCCCTCAGGAAATTCGGCAAGACTTGGAGAAAAGGAAAGTTCCATCAAAGAGGCCTGCCAGCCAGCCCAGTTCTCGGACGTGAGTGCAGCCAGGTGCCAGGTCCACAGCAGCGCCCTGCACGGGGCTTCTGGATCGAGGTGGGGCTGAGCTGGGAGCTGCTTGGCCCGGCCTGTTTCTGGGCCGTCGGGAGCAGCGTCTGCAGCCTGAGGTAGCTGGGGTGCAGCCTCAACAGCAGCAGGACCGGGAGCCACATAGAAGGCACCTCAAAGGCAGACCTCAGACCAGACACCCTGCAAACCCAGCCCTCTGCTCCAGAGCTCCCGTCCCCTGAGACCGAGAACAGGAGCTGGCCACAAAGGGAAGCCACAGTCGGGCCTGTGGGCCCTTTTGCTCTCCTGCTCGGGGGCTGAGGCTCCAGGCTTTCCTGCAGGGTCCTCCCCTGGCTTCTGCTTGCACAGGGCCAGGCATGGAAGGCTCCTGTTAACCCTGCGTATGAGTCATCAGATCCGGGAGTTGCCTCCATGTGCCGTGCTGCTCTGCTGGGTCCTGTGGACACAGCAGCGAAGAGACAGAGGCCCACTGTCTCAGAGCTGTTGATCTAGTATGGGGACACTGTGTGGTCATGTTGTCTGTGCTCATGCAGAGGCAGGAGGGGCTGCTTCTCCCAGCCATGGCGGGGGGTGTCACCTGCCTCCCCAGATGCCAGAAAGTGAGTGCTCCTGCCACGAAGATGTCAGTCAGCAGAACGGTTCACAGGGAGGCGACCTGTATGCTTGTGGGAAGATGCTGAGGTGTACTGAGAGCTACAGAACGCGATTGGGATGACTGGGGGGATAAAATTTTTACTTCCCATCCTTATGTGATGCTTGGAAAAATGTTCTTAATCTTGACCATGTGTCATATTTATAATTAAAGGCCCAAAGAACCAGTTAATGTTTTGGAAAATAATCCTTCCCCTGAAACATCTACGAGACCAATCTTCTCCGTGGGTGCTGTGGGCCTGGCGGTAGATCCAGAGGTTGAATGTTGGTGCTTCTGGCCTTTTCTGGTCCCTCAGGCTCCGGCTCCAGCTCCAGGCCCAATTCCATTCCAAGGCAGAGGAATGCCCTCAGCTTCCTTCCCTCACTCGTGCTCACACCTCAGAGCCATTCTGTTGCTTGCCTGCCTCCTCTCCATAGTGAACTCAGCCCTCGGTGCCTGTGAAGTCCAAACCCACAGACTGCCGGCTGTCCTGGGGCACCCCGCCCCCAGGCACCGCCCACGGCACTCCTGCCCTCATAGGCCCCATGGTAGCAAGTGGGAACTGTGAGCTCCCTCCTGTCTGCTAGTTCTTAGAGGGTAGGAAGTGCTCTGTCTCATGTTATCGTTACTGCAAGGCCAGTTCACATTCCCGGGGCGTGTTAGGAGCCTGTCTGATGAGAGAATGAATAAAGAGCTTGTGCTGACCCATCTGTGTGCTGGGTTTTATTTTCAGATGCCCACACTTTTAAAAGCTTCCCCTGTTTCATGTTACTTTAGACAAATGGATGTCATGTTCCTGGGCCACACGGTCCCAGGTCCATTCTGTCCACTGACGAACAAAAAGGGACTCTGTTCGGGGGAAGGCCAACACAGATGAGTGGGCGGGAGGACTGTTTCGGGCTAAGGGCAGACACCAAAGCTGGGGATTTGGTTTTTTCAAACCAAACAGTTCATCTCACAGTATCACTCAAAACTCACCAAATAATTTTAAAAAATAGTTTATTTTTTAAAACCATTAAGGCAAAACTGTACCCTGAAATTAAGTCTTTACATTCATCAGTCTTACAGTAGGACATTCCAAACATATGAGTTCCCCCAAATTCAGGATATAAATCAATATATATGATCAGTTCAATCTCCTAGTGGGAAAATGAATAAGATTTTTTAAAAATTAAAGTTACTTTATAGCCATTTTCTAATTGCCTGGAACTACTATCAGTTAACGTGATGAGGAAGATGCCATTGCTCTTCTCTGCACACCCCTGCTTCCCGAGGCCCTGGATGCCCCCTGCCCAGAGGACACCAGAGCCTGCTCACGAAGATCTCCTTTGGAACTGCTCCTGTTCGGTCGAAAAACAAAGGGTCTGTCAGCCCTGAATACTACGAGAGTGTAAGGCACCCAGGAAAAGTAACGATAAACAAACGCCCAGAAACCAAGCTCAGTCTCGCTTTGGAAACCTGCACCGTCCTGATGGGGTGTCCGTCAAACACTCTCCCTGGCGGGTCTCAGCACAATGGCCCTGTGGACCGAAGGGGCAGGACAGATACACATCAAGACGGAATTTTGCAAAGATGGAAAACAACGCATGGGAGACTCACGGAGTCTGTGGTTTCTGTTTTATGCTTCAGGTTGGGCCGTGTGGAGGCTGCCAGAGAACCAGCTGGTGCAAATCATTTCTGAAAGCATTTTTCAAATTGAAAAGTCTTTGGTAAAAACCCACAGGCAGTAACTTCCTGAAGAGCAGATGGCTACTTACTATGCAGGAAGGGGTCAGGGTCTTCGGTGAGACCCTGCTGTGTGCAACATTGACTTCTGACCTGGGCCTAAGGCGGCCTTGCCGGTAGAAATGATGAGATGGGCTCGCTGTGCTGCTTGCCGGTGAAGTGTGATGAATGAAACAGATTTGTACAGTGAAAAACAGTTCTACGTGGCTCAGGAGAGATGAAAAGCTTTGACGTGTGTGTGTGTGTGTGTGTGTGTGTGTGTGTGCAGTTGCATTTTAGTTGCGACATTTCAGCTTCCTTTGTGTTTCCTATAGGTCCCAGAGCCAGGCTATTAAGAGCATACATCAATTAACACTGATTTCAAAAGAACCCGAACGTTTGTTATTAGATGCATGATTGTAAGTTAGTAAAATATTTATATTAGCATTTTAAAAACCCCTCAAATCACAGTATTTAAGATACAGCTATTAACATAGTTCTTTTCACCATACAGTGCAGAAAAAAATCGTGATACTCGAACGCGAATACTGTAATCTTACCGGAAAGGGTATGACTGAGTGGTATGCATCTTTTGTGAGGTACTTTTTTTTTCAGGCCTGAAAAAAAGGAACAGACCATCTGTGCCTTTAAGAGAAGACAGTTCCCAAAAGTGAATGGTTTTACCTTGAAAAGAATGGTCACTCACTTGTCTTCAAGGCCTGAAGCTTGACCTCCCTGCCTCGAGGAGGCTGAGTCAAGGCCTGAGGCCCCTCTGGCCACGTGCCCCTGGTTTTGCAGCTCACCCCTTGTCCTAGGAGGCAGGGCTCATGCTGTGCACCTGCTTCCATGATGCTGTATCCACTCAGCCTAGTAATGACTTTTAGATGCTGGGTGGAGGGAGAAGGGCAGGAGAGGAGGAGGCTGGTAATTCCCTTCTCTGGAGAAAGACATGGAAGGTTTTCACATTTGACCCAAACTAGCAAACATTTTAAGTTAAAAAATCTGACCCAGGTCTTAATTTCCTCTCTATGATGTAAAAAATTGATGTTTCTTCATTTTTTTTTTTTTTTTTGAAAGAATGCATGTAATAGCCATGGGGCCACTGAAGGCCTTGATGTTCTCAATTGCTTCAGTCAAGATGTGACACTGCACATGGATGCAGTTTGGTCTGTTCTGTTTGGCAAAGGATTCCAAAAGGATGTGGCTGTGTGTATTTCAGCTGGACCGCATTATATGCTATGGCTCCCCCTTCTTGGGGAGGGGAAGTAAATGGTTCTATTTCTCACGCTTCAAACTGAGATTGTGAGAAGCAGACGGTCAGTGGCCAGTCCCACTCTAGATCTGAGAAGGCAGCCCAGGCCCCTCAAGCTGGGACAGGGCCGTGCGGAAGGCAGCCCTGGGCGGCGGCCACGCGCTTTCTGTTCCAACCAGCGGGCCTGCACCACAGCTTCTTAAAGAAATAAGCCTGTAGCCCGCTCTACTGAAATAAAGTTTAAGAACCTGCTGCATTCCACAAAAACAGCATAACGGAAAGCATGCAACTATTTAAACTAAAGCATGAAGACTCTGTCTTTTTTTTTCTTACAAAACTTCCAATATCACATTTTAGTTTGTATTGTGGTTTCCTGAGAAATATATGGATCTCCTATGTCTTGAGTCACACCAGATTTGTCACTTTATTCTTACTCTGGTGTGCTTCACAGGCTGGAGGTCAGTGACCATTTTCCTGAATTCTATTAAAATGGCACCTAAAATATGTATAAATCTCAGCAAAAACTTAGATGTCAATCTTTGGAGCCTACTCTTAGATCTTCCTGGGCAGAAGGTCTTCCAGAGGAGGGCTTGCCTGGGGGAAGTCCTTGCACTCAGAAAGGAAAAGGAAGGCCGCTACACAGCGCAACGGCGTCAAAGAATTCCTCGGTTAGCGAGGAGCTGCCAGCCCACTTTAGGCAGATTAGTCAACATTTGTCACACCCCTTCTTTTGCTCCTCATGGCGACAGCACAGCTGAGCTGTCCATAGAGCCATTCACGGACACTTTACTTCAGACTGTGCCGTCTGAAGGTCGCTGTTGTCAGGAAGGCAAGAGTCTCCTTAGCTGACAACTCGATGCAAAGATTTGGTTGGTAAGAGTCCTTAATCCCAGGGGAGCCCTATGAGTCAGCTTGGACCAAGAGCTAAGAGGAGCTGGGCCACTTTTAAAATGAGAACAAATACAGAGTCTGGCTTTGGAACCGTCTAGTGCCTGGCAGTGCCAATGCCATAAACGCTGGGTGTGGAAAAAATCTTCCAGGGACACTTTTTAATACTCAGGAAGCCCCCACTGGTGGCCTCATCTTAGTTTGTGCCTTCTATGGGCAATAGAATTTCCTTGCCCCTCCTGGATCCACACCACTGTTGTGAGCTTAAAAGGAAGGCTTTAAGCAAGTAACTCCTCCAGGAACAGCGGCGTCAGGCAGACCAGGCTGACCCACAAGAGCGTGGGTGGAGGACAGGGCCGGGGCCGGGGCCGGGCTGTAAGCGGCTGGCAAGAGTGCGGAGGTGGAGAAAGTGCGCTACACCTGGGGGCCAGAGACCTGCAGGGCCAGGCGGCCCTTCACCCTGAGCCTGGGTGTTTCCACTTTAAAATGGGGATGATCCCCTCAAAGGGCTGAGAATTGCAGGAGACGGCAGGAACCTTCTTTGAGAGCTGTGAAGGTCCGCGGTGTAGCTGGGGAGTCGTGAGCACTTGACATGTTTTCCTAGTGGGATCTGTGTTTTGAAAGGCCACAAGGGTTGAAGAGGTACTTTGAAGGTGGCTGGCTTTCCCTGGGGCCATGGAAGCCCCCCAAAAGGCCAGGCCCGCGGTCAAGTCAGTCTTAGCTGGGAGCGCCGGATTGGTTGGTTGAAACAATGGACCCATATTTAAACAGGAGTTCATTAAGATGTTCCAAAGACAGGCACGGCCATTGGGTCAAGACAAAAAAACCTTCCATTGTGCATCCGGCTGCTAAGCATCAGATGTGCCCAGTGTCAGCATGGTTTGCAAAAGGGAGCATGAGGCAGGAAATGCCTGGAGAGAGGGACAGGTGCTGCCAGCAGGGTGAGACTGCGGGAAGTCACCATCCGCCTAAGGTTTGCTTGGAGGCATCTCCTTCCATCCTCATCCGGCAGTCTCTCCCTGGACAGCTACACAGCCAGCAGGCATAGTTGAACACGACGGGGAGGCCCTTGGTGGGCGGGTCACTGCAGACCAAGACCATCACTGCTTCTCCTGACCCTGCATCATGCTCGTGCTCAGTCTCACTAAAACGGGGCAGCAACTTCTGCACGTGTGTATCTTTGACGCTCCCTTTAAACAACAGAATTTCCTTTAGAAAGTCATAACTTCTCATTTCTCAGCGTGTGGACAAGCAGAGGTGAGTATGCAGCCTCTGAGCCCTGAGCACAGACGGTCTGCCTGCAGATGCACCATAGGGCCCCCGAGCTGGTGTACCTTAATTCTAACAGTGGTTTATGATATGTCTATTGAGGTAGCTGTTATACTGTTGATTTGGGGAAAAAATAGTTGCTAAATTAATAGTTTACTTATCATACATCAAACAAAAGATTTTACTTGTGCCTTGAGCTTCTGCTCAGATCTTAGGATGCTACCCCGTCCCTGGATCGCACAGTCCCCAAGCCCGTTTATTTCCTTAGAGTTCTGGGTGGCCTATGTAAGAAACGCATCAGTACAAGCAGAAAGATATGTTCTGTGCTCTTAAAATGAAGAGAAAGACTCCCTTTAAAACAGGGACAGCTCTCGCCGGCGTTCTTGAATGCACTGAGCACCGAGTTTCTTTCTCCTCGACTTCATGTTCATTATTTGTGCATATCCATACCTGCTCTGTACTTATGAGCCAACTTATGAGCCAACTGTAGGAAGGTCACAGGGAAACTGGAGAGCAGGTGGGAAGAGAGGAACAGCTCACTAGTGCTCTGACAACTGCTCCTGAATCCCGCTCTCGCTGATGCAATTGGGAG